AAAAAAAAAAAAAAAAAAAAAAAAAAAAGTGAACATATTTTCCACTGGAACATACTTAAAACATGAACTTAGAATCATTTATATACCCTTAAAATATAAACCACTCTTTTACAAGCTCATTTCATTTTACCTTCAAACCTGCCCACAAAAACCCTACAGACTAGTTAACTGTAGTAAAAATGAGTAAATAGCTGAGTGTGTACAGGCGCACACCTGTAATCCCAGCGCTTGGGAGGCTGAGGCAGGAGAATCACTTAAGAGTTCGAGGCCACCCTGGGCTACAATGTGAATTCAAGGCTAGTCTGCACTGTATAGCGAGACCCTGTCTCAAAAAGACAAGGAAAAAAATGAGTAAATATTTTAGCTTTAGTGCTACTTAGTTATTGTTACTGTTAGCTATAAGACACTCTGGATTTCTCTGAGCTGCAATACTGACCCAACCAGCAACAGGGACAGACCCAAGCTGAGCACGAACTCCCAAGGTCACACACTACACAACTGGACTCATGTAACCGTTTCAAAGCGACAACACAAACTGGGTGTGGTGAGCACGCCTGTAATCCCAGCACTCTGGAGGGCTGAGACAGGAAGATCACAAGTTTGATCCCAGGCTGGGAGACTTAGTGAGACCCTATGTCAAAATTTTAAAAAAGGGCTAGGGCTGTAGGTCAGTGCGAAGGCCCTGGGTTCAACCCCCAGTGCCCTATTACCACACACGCACATGCAATACACACACATGCACACATCATATGACAGAGATACAGGACAGTGAGGGAAAGGGAAGAGGGTGGTTGTGAAGCGGAGGAGGAACGTCCTGGGGCAGAAACACCTAGGATGGAATGGGGTGGGCATCCTCACGCCTGCCCACCCAGGACTCACACAGCACTGGTGAGGCCCAAGCAGACCCACGGCTTCTCCCAGCTGCAACTTCCTGCTTCTAGCCCAGACTTGCAAGATGCCACCCTTGGAGAAAGCTGGACAAAACACTCATTCCACCTGATTTCTCTGCAGTATTTCTCACAACTGTACCTGAATCTATAACTTTTCACACACAGTCTTTATAGGGGTAGTCCCAGCATTTTTCTATTTTACTTTAAGTAGATATAGGGGTCTACCGCTACAAACTCAAGGCTAGTTTTTATTTAAAGGAACAGCAAAATCAACACTTGGAGCACAAGAATCACAAAATTTGCTTTAAAACTGAATCTTTGATTAAGAAGAAAAATATTTATAATAAATGCCTTAAGTCAGAATTCAGAATAAAAAGACTTGGGCTCACCATTAAGCCTACTCCAAAAACAAAAGCCCCCCAAACTTCCAACACTTGTAGTTCAAAATCATTTTACATCAAAATCACATTACTCTCACTCTATTGCTCTATTAATTACATTACTCTATTAATTTAGAAATGATACATAGCACTTATTGCATAAAAATTTCTAAGACTGCAAAGCCACCAAGATCAGAGACTTCTGCTGACACTCCCGTCACCTCCCGCAGAACACAGCAGACCAAAGCCCCTTAGGGTGTGTCAGTCCCTTCAGGGAACAGGAGGCCAAAAAGCAGCAAGCATCTACTTTCCTTTCCTGGCTAGGAACATATGTAAAACATGGTCCCTTAGACAGGAGTTGGGAAACTCAGGCTCTGCTTCCTGTAGTCGCAGAACATGCCACACTCTCTTCCTTTAGACTCGCTAGAACCATTACTTCAATACTCAATAGACCAAATTACTATGGACAAACCTGCCCCCTGAAGATGGTAAAGATGCCCAGATTGTTATGAGGATAACAAAAAGGTCTCTACGTGGCTGACTCTCTCTCCTGACTGTGCCATGCTGCATCCAGCTCTGAGGATAGCCTCATCCAGGGCTCTGCCCAGGTTCATCCAGCTGAGCCCAAGGCCCCAGTGTGTACACACACACCCGGAAAGAGAAGGACACTACTGAACAAGGCAACCAGCCTGGGCTGTGGGCAGGGAAGTTCCTGGAGCAAGGGTAGGTATGGCAGGAACATGATTAACATGTCTGATGTCTGCACAGTTATTTAGTTTCCCCTAAAAAAAAAGGGAAATAGGATTATTTGAAGTAAATAACTTAAAATTAGAGTTCTTTAATGATACTACCAACACTTCCAAGTTCAGCACCAGAAAGCTGACAAAAAAGGATGAGACTGACGGGCATGGTGGCACACACTTGTAATCCCAACACTTGGGAGGCTGAGGCACAAGGATCGCCGTGCATTTGAGGCCAGCCTGGGCTCCATAGTAAGTTCAAGTGTTGAACTGCATAGGGAGACCCCATCGCAAAGAAAAAAAAAAAAAGGACGAGATCAATGCAATAGGGAGGACTTATCTTCAAGACCTATTTTGAAGTCTAACACATATTTCTTAAAGATAAGGCCACTTATCATGATTCCATAAATACAACTGACAGTTGTCAAAAATGAAGTGCATGACTCATCAATATATTATCCGTATCTAATCAGTAAAACAACTGAAGAACAAGTTAACAAGAAGGAAAAAAATTCTTAGGTCGCTAAAAAGCTTCACAATATTTCACTTAAACCTCTAGAAAAAGCAAGTGTTTCACTAGTTACTTCAATGACTGAGACTACTTTTGGAAAACTGGTAATGGATGACCAAGAAGATGTTCTGATCCAAAGAATGTCCAGAAAGATGTCCAAGCAGAGACTGAGCCGTAGGGGGAAGGGTTCCTAACCTGTGAGCCGCATCTCCTGCGCAAGGTGTTCCAGCTGCACTTGTCCAGGCAGGGCCAGAGAGACCCACGGGGACAGGGCAGCAGGGCCTGGAGAAGGCACTGCCAGCCAGCTGGTGGTGTTACAGCCAGGAAAGCCATCAAGGAAGAACCAACGGGGACTTGTGGACACAAGCCCTGTTAGCCGCAGTGAATACTCCTGCAGTAGGGAGCAGCAAATCCTCACTGTGGAGCTGGCTGCACCGTCTACCCAGGCCCGCCTTCACTTCTCCTTCCCAGGGTTAGCCGAAGCCCCAGACCAGCCGCAAACCTGCCCGGTCGTCTCCACTCAGTTGACCGCTTCCGCCCACAAGAATCCACAGCAAGAAGTTAAGGAGGAAGGCTCTCCCCAGGAAATCTGCAGGCCGACCTCCCTGCCTGTCGGTTTCCTCCACACCTTCCGGATTCTCAGCTCAGAGGAAGGTGTTGCAGGACCCTGCGCATCGGCCCTGAGGGTATACTGCGTTCATCTTGAAGGAGTCTGAACGATGCTAGAACGACGTGAATCAACAACACAGACTGCAGGCAGGAGCAGTGACGGGGTTGCTGCGTTCGGGAACTGAGCGACGCCCACGGAAGGGCAGTCCCCGCCTCAGGAAGACACCTGGTAAGGAGCACTGACAGGAGACCCACAGAGAGCCCCGCCCAAGGAGAGACCCAGAAGAGGCGCGCCCCCAGGAAGGAGGGGTCCAAGAAGGGATCCCCGTCGAGGACCGACGAGGAGGCGAGCCCGCGGCACTCACCCGGACGCAGGAGGCCGCACCCAGGACGTCCGGCCTGAGCATCAGCAGTCCCGACCGGGAGCTCCGCGGCGCCGCGTGCCGAGAGCCGCGCGCGGACGTCCCCCGCATCCCTTCCTCGGCGGCTGCGGGGCGGGAACCGGACGCTTAGGGAGGCCGCCGCCCTCTCCCCACGCAGGCTACACCGACGCGTACCAGGAAACGCTGCGCGGCCTCTTTAAGAGAGCGAGGCGGTCCCGAAGGACTCCGCGCGGCGCCGAGCATGCTGGGAGCTGCAGTTCGGCGGGCCAGCCGATCGCGCCCCTCGTCCTAGGGGCTCCTCCTAGCGGCCACGGCTGTCGGCCGCCTTCGAAGAGGGGGCCCGGTCCCTTCCAGGGGCGGCGCGTGCAGACCTGAGGGCCGTGGCGGCGCGATGCACGCCGGGAGCCCAGGCGTAGGTGGACGCCAGAGCCACGGCGAGCCGAGGAACTGAGGGTGCGGACGCCTGCGCAGGGGGAGGCGGCGGGCCAGCGCGCTTGCGCAGACCGGCCACGAGCAGCGGTGGCGCCGGCGAGCATGGTAGGTGACGGCGCCGCGCTCGCTGGCGGGCGAGCGCGGTGGTCCTGGCTCTGCGGCGGCTGTAGGCGCGGGGGCGAGCTGGGGGCGGAGGAGCGCGCCGGGAGGAGTGTGTAGGGCGCGGTAGCCCGAGCGTGCTGCCCTCCTGTGGTCACGAGCGAGGACTCCGGGAGAGTCGGGGCCGAGCTCGGGCCCGAGCGCGCAGTGCGCTGGGGCTGGGGCGGGAAGCGGGAGCCCGCGACGGGAAGCGGGGACCCGCAGCGTCGGCGCTGGCCGGGGTTCGCGGGAGCCGCGCGGCCTCCGTCCTCGCTGCGCACTGGCTCGTCCGGGAGCGTGGCTGGAGGACACGGAGGACAGCAGGAAGAGCGCGTTAGAGAAACGGAAAGCTAGAAGCTGCGCCCTGGAGACCAGGCGGAGAGAGCTGGGGGGTCGGGGCAGCTGCGCACCTGCCGGGTGGACCCCGCTCCAGGGTAGGGTGCGCAGAAGAACTTCCGGAAGGCTTTACACGTGCGGAGGTTAAAGATCCAGAAGCATGAACTGAGGTGTTTGACTTGACTTCCCATTCCTCAAGCCTGCTGAGTCAGCTCCCGCACCGCCGAGCCTGCTCTGTGCCCGAACGGAGATCTACCAGATCGTGCACTGTGTGGTTCTCGTTGCCCTGTCGCCTCTCGTTAAATTGATCCTAGGAAGGGATCTTACTGTATTAACTGTCCCTGAAAGAACGTTTTAAGAGCTCTTTAGAAATTCTTGTACAGTATACGGACATCTTTGGTACCTAGATTATATCAGTGGCTTTTCGAAAGGTCGCAGTTGAAATGTTTGAAGCTCTTGCTCTTTTTATTTAATGTTTTCAGGGGACTACCCAGATTTTCATTTCAAGAACTTTGTGTATTGTAACAAGTAGCAAAACGTAGAAAATGCTCTCTCCTTTAATATTTTTTAGTTTCCATAACACGGTGAGCCTCAGCAGAGGCCATCAGCACTCAACAGTTAGGCCTGTGGACCTGCCAGTTGGTAGACCTTGGTTAATTTTGCATAGATTTTGGAGCTGATGGATTCAGAGTTCTTCTTTCTCCTTAAATGGGGAGCGCTAGGGGAGTGGGGCGGCCGGCAGGCTTTCGTTATGCAGTTCAGTCTGGCCTTGAATTTGTTGTGTGGCCTAGGCTGGTCTTGAACTCTCCACGATCCTACTGCCTCAGGCTCCTGTGTGCTGGGATTACAGGTGTGTGTGCCTTTGTGCCAGCGTCCTTTAAGTTTTATAGTCTGTGAGCCTTTCTTCCCTAGAAGTCTTTTTTTAAATTAACTTATTTTTTCTCCTTTTTTTTCTATGAAGTCTTACGCCACTTCCCTTTCCTACCTACTCTGTAGTCCTAATGACTACATCTTTGGTCACTGTTGGGCTTGCACACATGCTCTTTAGACTTAGCTGTTGTTGGTTATTGTTTTATCACTTTATAGACAGACCTGTAGGGGGTGACATCAAATCATGCAACGTTTTGACAGGACCCATGCTCTTCCTTCATGGTTGCTGCTGCTCATGCTGAGCTAGCACCTTGGTCCCCTCTAGAGCCCAAGTTTGGGGGAGTGTCCTTTACAGATGAGGCAATTTGAATGGATTGGAGAGGGATCTACTTGTTTGTCTCCACTTCTACCCATTGTAACCAAACAGAAATGGTTCTAAACCTCTTTGTATGGCCTGGATGCATGCACTGTATCTGCCATGTAGACAATTTACACCGTGGATTTAGCTGTCACCTCACACGTGGGTGACCATACAGAGGTGATCTTCATGGGTAATAGTAGCTCAGGTACCCTGTCTTCCGTGTGTCTACATTATCTTTGTGTGCAGCCCTCTGTGGGGAAATGCTGGTCACGTGGTACAGCCACCTGAGGGTGTGTGACTCTATTGAGTAGTCTTGGAGACCCTAGGGTGCTACTTGGAATTCTTTTTGAGGTGAGATTCTCATAACATAAAATTATTAAAGTAGTATAGTTTAGGGGTATTTAGAAAATTCACATTGTTTTGCAACCACCGTATATAATTCCAAAACATTTTCATCACTAAGAGCAAACCCTGTATACTTCCAACTCCCTCCTCAACCCCTGGCATCTTTTAATCTACTGTCTATCTCTATAGATTTGCCTGTTCTGGATATTTCATACAGTGAAATTATGTAACCTGTGACCTTTTGTGTCCAACTTCTATTTCTCAGCATAGTTTTAAGGTTCACCCTCGTTGTGTCCTGTGTCATTACTTCATTTCTTTTTAATGGATGCATAGTATTCTGTTAGGTGGATATACTGATTTTATTTATATTCATGACAGAATTTTCGAATTTAGCATTAATGGGTATTCCATAATCAAGATACAGTGGGTATTCCTAATGGAGGGCTGTTGCATAAACTGTCAGCTTTATAAAAAGATCCTGGCATTTTGGTTTATCATAATGCTTATCATAGCATGTGATATCTAACCTAAGGTAAAGTTAGGCTTAGGAGAGACTATAACCCTGAATTCTTTGTCTCCTTCTTTTCACAGGTGCACTTTTAGAAAATAATGTATGTAGTGTATATTCTATGTATTCCTTGGACTCTAGATTAGGGCCAGGAAGCTACAACCCACAAGCTAGCTGCTGGCTGGGTACATAGTCTCCTTGGCATGCAGGCATAGCCACTGGTGTGCACATTGTCTGACTGTGACTTTCACCCTGCAGTGGCAGAGCTGAAAAGCCACAAGAGACTGTGTGGCCACCCTCCGCATTTTTATTGTCTGGGCCTTTTCCTCAGGACCCCTAAGGGTTTGTTGTTGTTGTTTTTAGTCTTTTTGAGACAAGGTGCTCGCAGTTCAGGCTGGCCTTGAGCTCACTTTGTAGCCCAGGCTGGTCTCCAACTTGCAAGGATCCTCCTGCCTCAGCTTCCCAAGTGCTGGGATGAGTTTTTAAATATGTATTTTAGAATCACCAATAACAAACCCCATTACTTTCTTACATTTTTATAAGTGTCTTTAGTGTCTGACCTCATAAAAGTATTATTATTGAGTCTTTCGTGTTCATCCTCTCCTGGTTTCATGAAACATATCCTGCACACTCAGGAGAAGCTGCTGACAGTTGATAGTACTAAGAGACAGTTTTGTCATCATGTGAAACCCTCCAAAGGTCTCAAACCCAGGCCCCCATAGTACACTAGCGCACTGTGTGTCTGTACAGGATCATCTTACTCTTGCTGAGCTTTGGTATTGATACATATTTGGGTTGCCTTAGAGGAAACTCTGGAACTTGCTCTGCTGCTTATTGTTGACATTTGGAAAGGAATCAGTCTATAGAAAGGAAAAGTGGCATGTGTTCTTTCCTGGGCAGACAGACTATTTCCCTAGGGTTTCAGCCAGAAGAGCAGTCCCGATGGGTTTCTGTTAGAGGAGAGTTCCCTCCTGAGCACCCCTTGTTTCCTGTGGTGCCTGCGAAGCTCAGAGCCTGCTTTTAGCTGATGCTCAGCGCGGGCCTGTGCCACACTTGTCTTTACACAAATACCCGGTTTGCTGCTCCTCTCCCTCCTTTTAATTTCTCCATCTACTTTTTGATAACCATTCCCATAAGTGGTAATTTATTCTGTTTCTATAAACTTTCATCTTTATTTGCAGATTGAGTATAATCCTCTCTAGGGAAACTTTTCCCCTTAAGATATTATTGTGTAACACATTTGTATTTTTTTTAAAAATTAGCTTAGTCTGTTTGGATGTAGAAATTAATAAGTCACTGTTTTGGTGTTGCTTTCTCCAAGTTACCTTGAGAACTGGAAATATAAGCATCCTATATCTGGAAGCCTTTAGATGTTACTCTGTTTCATTACAGACTATATATAGTACAGTTATTTGGCAGTTTTGTTGTTTATTGCATACCCACAGCCTTTGCCCTGCCTCACATAGGCAAACATTCTTGTTATTAGTAAGTACATCACTTCTCAGTTCCTGACAGGCATTCTGTGCCTACTTGTGGCACTTTTCCAATTTACTTGTAACACAAGTCTTAGTCCTGTGTGTATGTTTTCATCAATATGGTTCTGTTTTTCAACGGAGGGAAACTTAATAATTTTCCAATCTGCACAGCCTCCTGCTAGTCATTATAGACTGAACTTTGAGGCCACAGCCCTGTGGGTAGCCCTATGATGACGTCAGGTCCTGCCTTGTGTGTTAGACTGTGCTAAGATTTTTAAGGCAAAAATAAACACTACTACATGTAGAAAACTGGTCAAAATGTGGTTTTATAAAATACTGATTCTCGTAATTCTTCGAAGATTAGACTTTGAGTATTTGTTACTATCTAGATGCTATCATTTCAATTTCAGGAGACTGTGCAGTCTTTTTAACTGATGAAGACCAAGGCTCTGGCTTCCTGTAATTCTGGAGTGGAGTCACCCAACAAAACACTTAAGTCCAGTTAAAATATAGGCATTAGGAATAGAGACTGCCACAAACCCTGGAGTCGCTTCATTGGCTTTCCCGCTTCTTTTGCATCCCAAAGCATAAGCTTAAATCGTCTCAGAAGGAAAAGGTCCGCCAGTTCATGGCCTGTACTCAGGCTGATGAGAGAACTGCTATCTACTGCCTAACACAGAATGAGTGGAAACTAGATGAGGCCACAGACAGCTTCTTCCAGAATCCAGACGTATACTACAGGGAATCCATGCAGAATGCTGTGGACCAGAAGAAGCTGGAGCAGCTATATGGCAGGTACAAAGGTAAGGGGGATATGGCAAGAAAGCCAGACCACACAGTTTCCAGTGACCACAGGGAACAGCATTGTGTTGGTCATCTTTTCATCTCTATAGCATGATATCCAGCACGCACAACTTAAAGGAGGGGTTTAATGTGGCTCATGGTTTTGGAGAATCCATTCCATGTGTTACTGGTTCCAAGGTGGAAGGGTGTAGGACAAAACTGCTGTCTTCCTGGGAGTCAGGAACCGGTGGACAGAAGCATCCTGAGCAGAAGGGCCCAGGAACTAGGTGTGGATCCCTGACCCACCCAGACACACCCAGAACTGTGCTGTATACTAGTCCCTTAGGCAATTCCCAAACCAGCCAAGTTGCCAAGCATGATTAACTATCGCAAGAGTGTTTGTAGAACTTCTGGTGGCATGGACAAAAGAGCTCCAAGCTGCTGTTCCTTTTGAGTTCAGCTCCAGAACTTCGTTTCTTCAGTAAAAAACTGGGGGTGAGGGAAGGGTATAAATGGCTGATGAGGAGCTAGCCCTCACCTACCGCTTGTTCTGTATGGTGAGTGTGACATATTGACAACGGTTAGAGGGAAGTGTCCCTATTTTGGAGCTATGTTAGCCACTTTCCATACTAGGACAAAATACCTGACACCTGCAACTTAAAAGGTAGAAAAGTTTGTTTTGGCTCAAAATGTCAGCACCTTTAGTCCATAGTTGGCTGGCACTGAAGCAGAACCATTATGTGGTCGAAGAGCCTGGCAGAGGAAAGCTTTTCATGTCATGGCAGACAAAAGCAGAGAGAAAAGGGCAGGGTTGAGAAAAGAATATGCCCTTCTAGGTCACACCCTCACCTACCCACCCCCTTCCAACCTGGCCCTACTTCTGCATAGGAGGCTTTTGGGAGACATTTTTGTTCTAAACCAGTGGTGGTGAACCTATGACATACATGCCATAGAGGATTGTTTGTATCAGTTGAAAGTTCTAAAATGTTTGTATCACTGTAACCTAAACCATCACAGAAGCTAGCATCTCACCCATTTCTATACCTAATAACACTATTTTTTCACCCATTTCTATACCTAATAACACTATTTTCTCCCTAGCATTTTTATTTAGGCTGAAATGTTTGAACACTACAAGAACATGAGAAGAATTGTATAAGGGCCGTCATCAGCCTGCCCCACACATGTAGTAGTGTCTAAAGCTTAAATTCTTATTTAAACAAATATTAGATCCAACAGAATCATTTACTTGGCTTTATATTCTGTTGTTTTCTTTTGAAAATACTGTGTGTACTTTTTCCTTGAAGGTTGCATTCTTAAAAAAAAAGAAACTGGCTAAAAAACTGGTTTGTACTCAATATAGTTTTCAAAAACCGAAAATTGTTTAGCGTTTTTAAAAATTTTGGGGCAGGCATGATGGTGCACACCTATAATTCCAGCACTTGGGAAGCTGAGACAGGAGGATAGCTGAGAGTTACTTTTTGTATTGCTAGGACTCCCCAGAGCTGCAGCCCTTTTTAAATTTTGTTTTGAGATGAACTCTCACAAAGTTGCCCAAGCTGGCTATGAATTTATAAGCCTCCTACCTCAGTTTCTGGAATAGCTTGGATTACAAGCATGTGCCACCTCACCCAGTGAAATCATTTTATAATAATGAAGTCTCCTTAAAGAAGTTGCAATGATTTTGCTTTCCTTAAAACCTAGAAACCTAGATTTTACAAATAGGACTGTTTCATGGGTTATTTGTTGCTCACTGTTTCTTATGTAGAAAATTATAGTTCTTTAATGTATCTGAAACACTCTAGCTAGAGTTATATAATAGAGTGGTATGATCCTGATGACCTATTTTAAGATTGTCAAAATAGTGTAACATTTTCCCCCTAATTTTAACAACAGATCCACAAGATGAAAACAAAATTGGAATTGATGGAATTCAACAGTTTTGTGATGATTTAAACCTGGATCCTGCCAGTATCAGTGTTTTGGTAATAGCGTGGAAGTTCAGAGCTGCCACTCAGTGTGAATTTAGCAAAAAAGAATTTGTAGATGGCATGACAGAGCTTGGGTAAGTAAATTTTCTCAGTTTTAATTTTTTCAGAAAGGAAGGTGCATTCAACATTTTTCAATAGCCTATAAATATTAATTTCACATTGATGTATTTTATTTGTATACAGTGTAAATAACTTACACATCTGCACTATTAAGCCTTTAATTTCTTTTTCAATTCTAGTTTAAAGTTTATCATCATTCACGTTAGTCTTTTTTGTGTGTGTGTGAAATAGAGTCTCGCTATGTAGTTCAGGTTAGCCTTGGATTCACTATATATCCCAGACTGACCTCAAACTTGGGGTGGTCCTTTTGCCTTAGCCTCCCTAGTGCTGGGATTACAGGCATCCACCACCACACTAACACATTAGTCCTTTTTATAACTCTTTATTTTCTTTTTTATTCCCTTCCAATTTTGAATAAACAATATATACCAGGAGTCTTTTCACCCATCGTTTATTTCATAGTGTATACAACATGTATAATTCATTATGTTACTATCAGTAAACTGTCATTTTGGCTTTTGTTACATTTCTTTATTCTATCTTAGGGTTAGGATTAATAACTTATTTCTTAATTATCAGATGAGCCATAGAAGTAAATGAAACCACCTCACATACCTGTACTTTAACTTGTTTATTTCATGTGGTAGTGTAAAAGGTAGCTTGTTTTACTTGCTGGTATTTCTGGATCTCTGATATGTCAGTGCTGACATCTTAAAATAGCCTGCCTTGTGCCGCAGAAGAGTATAGTCTGTAAACCAGTTCCTAAAGCCTCTGCTTGCTTTTTCTTGTTATATTTATTACTCTGTTTAAATAATAAACTATAAGACTTTCTTTATTTCATATTGAACCAAAGACACCATTCTGACAATGGTGTGACCACTTATTTCTTCATTTCTTTGTACTTTAGAAAGTATAGGTAAACCACTGGTTGATTTAGGGTGGAAAACACCTATCTGAACGTATTAGTATATTCTTAGGAAAGACAGAAGAAGCAAAGTCATGAGGAAAAAATTGATAAATTGTACTTCATCGAAATTTAAAACATTGCTCATCAAAAGATACATTAAGAAAATGAAAAAGGCAAAGTATTGAGAAAATACTTACTAAATAAATATAATTTCCAAATAATAGAGGGAGAAATAGGATAATTTTAGAAATTCAGCCAAACTGAATATAAGGGTTATTAGGTTAGGCAGGACAGATGGCAAACACATGATAAAATGGAGGGTTTAAACCCAAAAGTGTCAGTAGTCACAGTTACATTAGATGTTAGTTAACTAAATACTGGGTTTTTAAAAGCAGTTACTGGCGCTGGGGACTTAGCTCAGCGGCACAGCACCTGCCTGGCAGGCGCAAGGTCATGAGTTCGATTCCCGGTACTAGAAAAAAACAAAACAAATAAAAGCAGTTACTATGCATACTGTTTACAATAGGTATACATAAAGCAAAAAGGCACAGAACAATTGGAAAGGATAAAAGTTGACGTATTACGCAAACACTAATCCAAAATAGTGTGTGCAGCTTCATTAATGTTAAAATAAACTTTATGGGCCAGGGATGTTGCTCACTGGCAGGTCCTGAGTTTAATTCCTGCAACCAAAAATAAATAAATAAATAAATAAACTTTAAGGCATAAAGCAGTTCTACAGATAATGAAGAATATTTCTCAGTGATAAAAGGTTTGTTTCACCAGGAAAGCAATAGCTTTTAGGTTTTTGTGTACTTACTGAGTAGTTCCAAAATCTTTAAACCAAAAAAATAAGTACAAAGAGAAAGAAAGTGTGGAATTCTTATATGCATCTTAGGAACTAATAAAATGAGCAGGTTAAAAAGCAGGAAAAAAAAATAGAAGATTTTTGACAGCACAACAGATAGCCTAGTGAACAGTTTTAGAACATTGGCTTTGAAGAATATTATTTTTAAAAATATAGAACATTCATATAAACTGGGCGATAAAGTTACAATCAATTACAAAGAATTTGAAATAATAAATAACAATAAATAGAGGGTATATTTTCTGGCCACAGTGCAACTAAACTAGAGATAACAGTAAAGTTAAAGTATGTGTAGACATTGTACACCACTGAATAACCTGTGGCTTGGAAAATAATTTACAATAGAAATTAGAAGATACATACTTGGAATTGAATGATAAAGAAAGTGCTGATGTAAAAATTTGTAGGATCCAACTTCTTAAATACATATTTTAGAAAGAAAAAAGTACTGAAAATCAGTCAGCAAAATGTCCACTTAAAGTGGAAGAAGGCTGGAGTGTAATTCAGTGGTTTAGTGTTTCCCTGGTGTTCTCAAGGCCTAGGACTGAAAAGAGAGACAGCGAGAAATTGCAGGAGGTTAAAGGATATGGACGATAATGATCTTTTTTTTTTTTTAAATAAACAGTAATTTAATGGGAATGGTCATTAAGTAGAAAAGAAGTTGTTGACAAATAAGTCAGTGAAGCCAGATGTTCTGTTATTTGCAAAGACATAAAAGCACTAAATGACAGATAACCAATACAGAATGAAAAGAGGGCACATCACTATGGATATTGCAGACATTAAGAAATAAATTTATTATGGACAACTTTGTGCCGGTAAATTTGGCAGCCTGTAATAACAGTTTCCTAAAGCTGACGTGAAGAAATAAGAAGTCCTAATAGTTCCCTACATCTTAGCATTTGAACCTGTAAAGTCTCAAAAATGGGACTTGTGGTTCGGATGGCTTCATTGGCACATCTGCTATTTAATGAAAAGGATCACCAGTTTTAAACACTCCTACGGAGAAGAGTTATTTTGAGTTTTAAACACTCCTCCGAGTTATTAAGAGTTTTAAACACTCCTCCGAGTTATTTTGAAGTCAGCACATCCTTAAGTAAGAAAATCTAGGAATGACATTCTGTAAGTCGAGAATTATGACCACTCTCAGTCAGAAGACTAGGAACATGCCAAGCATGGTGGCACACTCCTGTAATCCAGCACTAGGGAGGCTGAGGCAGAAGGATTGCCAGGAGTTTGAGGCCAGCCTTGGCTATGGAATTCAAGGCCCACCTGAACTGCATTATGAGACCCTTTCTAAAAAAAAACACCTCAGAACATTTTGTAAAGTGGATGGTAGATGTGACAGGTATTATTAGTCGATTAATTCTACTGGAAAAGACTAAAGTGGTAAAAAAAAAAAAAAAGTGGTGAACAACATTAACAACAGACAGAAAAAAAGATCATCTTAATGCCTAAAATAAATTGATAAAATTCAATATCCATTCATGATTAAAGATCAATTAACAAAACTAAAAAATTTTTAGTTTGATAAATTGTTCAGCAAACGTTATACTTACTGGAATGTTAAGCCACTTTCCTTTGAGACAAAACCTAAGGTAAATCTAATTAAATATATGTGTAATAAATTAATGATGTAGCAAAGCAAAGTGAATTTTGTTTATTTATTTTTTAATTTCTTTTTTTGAGACAGAGTCTCACTGTGTAGTTCAGGCTGGCTTTGAACTCACTGTGGAGCCCAGACTGGCCTCATACTCATGGCGATCATCTTGCCTCAGCCTCCCTAGTGCTGAGATTACAAGTGTGTTCCATAATGCCCAACCTAAAGTGAATTTTAAAGTGTTATTCTCAGTGTATCAAAAGTTCAAAATGCTTAGGATAAATCAGATTAAAGATGTACAATACTTCCATGGAGTCAGACAGTAACTCATTGAGAGATGGAAAGATCTGAGACATCTTTTCAATCAACGGTCCTGAAAGAATTGGTTAATTATAGGGAAAAAAATCTTAATCCCTCTCTGACCATGGATAAAAACCAGTTTCAAGTGATTGTAGATCTTGATACCAAAGGCAAAAGCAAAAAGCCTCTAAAAATAACTTTTGGTCACACAACACATCAGGGAAATAAAAAGGCAGTCCACATTCTGGGTGAGAAAACTTTAAAAATACAGTACCCACTGACAAAAGCTTGTGTCTCTAAAGAATTCTTGCAGAATAATAAGAAAATGCCTGATTGAAAATTGAGCACAAATGGCCAGTGAAAAAACAAAGATGCTACCTCATTCACTGGGGAGGTGCAGGTAGCTGGAACCCCAACAAAACCTGCCCTCTGAGTTGACCAAAGACAGCAGCAGGTAGTTGGGATGGGACTCCAGGAGCTCTGGTGCAGGGTTCTGACATTGCAGAAGCCCTAGGACCCAGCTGTTCCCCTGTGGTTTGGATGCCTAGTGGAACGTGTTCGTGTGTATACTGAGATGCATGTGCAGAAACCTGACAATGCTACTTGCGGTAAGAAGACTAGAGCGGTCAGACGGTTCTCCAAATACTGGGATTCCACATGGCAAAGAAAATGAAGGAGCTAAGCTGCATGTGCAGCAGCAAACCTCACTCGTAGATAGACACAGGCCAGGAAAGCCAGACACAGAGTGGCATACTGCATTCTCAGTCACAAGGAGCACACAGGCCCTAAGAGGAACTCAGGGTGCTGGAGTAGACCGAACAGTGAGGAAATGGCCAACGCCGGTGTCTAGAAGGGCACCATGGGGAAGCCCTCCTCTGTGGTCCAGGTGCACCCTGGCCACATGCCGGTGCTGCGTAAGGGCTCTTCTGAATGTGCACCTGGACTTTCTGGACTGCTCCAAGGTGTCTCCTGCTCTGTTCCTGAGCTCTGCTCTACTTGGACAGTAGATAAGTGAAATACAGCATCAAGTCAGATGAAATAAAAAAGGGAAACTTTCATTCCACTGTTCTACATTTCTGCCTTAAAGGCCAAATAATATTTTCACTGAATTATATTTAATTTTCCTTTTGCAGTGTTGAGAATTGAACCCAGAGCCTCGTACTTACTAGGCAAGTCAACCATACACCCAGCTCAGTCTCATGTTTTTAGTTTTTGACTTTTTGGAGGAAAAGTCAATAATAATAGAGGTTTCATAATTGCTGTCTTAAATCCAGCTCTCTATAGCAAAGAGGTCCCTAAATACTTAGGAATAAAGTCTTTTCCCTTGTGTGGCAGCACAGAGCCTGCAGGTACCCAGACTGGCTGGGGACCCAATCCTATAGTCGCTGAGGTGACTGGGACTTCCCTCCTCTGACTGTCATCTTCAGGGTCTTGGCCTTTCCACATAATCACAGCTGCAGAGCTAAACCATGCCCTGTTCCAACTCTCAACAAGAGGATAAGTGGTTTTGGGTTTTTCTTTGAACAGTTTACTGAAATATAATTCACATACCATGCTTTCACCCACCTGATGTTTATGACTCCGTGGTTTTACTATACGTACAGCTTGTAGCCGCTACCATTTCATGTTCCTTTGTGCAAGAGAGAAGTTGTCCACCACTACCCACTCATACCCCATCCCTAAGCCAGAAGCACAGCTCTAGCTGAGCAGGAGACGAGTGTTGGGGGCCTTTCTGCCACAAGTAACAGACCTGTCTCTATCCTCACAGGTGTGATAGCACAGAAAAGCTGAAGGTTCTTCTGCCCCGATTGGAACAGGAGCTTAAGGACTCTGCAAAGTTTAAAGACTTTTATCAGTTTACCTTTAGCTTTGCTAAGAACCCTGGGCAAAAGGGTTTAGGTGAGTATGGAATCCAGATGTGCTCAGGTGCAAGGTCTGACAGGCAGTGAGTGGGTATGGTCAGTGTGATGTCAGCACAGCTGATTGTGATGTTGTTGCCCCTGGTTTGGTGTCTTTATCTGCTTATTCTTATACCTGAAAATATCAACCAATTGTGTCCCTTGACTTCTGGGTTTTAGTGTTTAAAATTTTTAAGTGTAAACTAACGTGTAAGTGTTCCATGCCCTCTCATTGATATCTTGTTGACTAAAGGCTGTTAGAGTTGACAGCCTCAGTGTATGGACCTTGAGGCTGTTAGAGTTGACAGCCTCAATGTATGGACCTTGTTTTCCCATGTGATATTTTGCCAGCCAAGTCTGCAGTCTTCACAGCCAGGTCTGTGATAGGCCTGGAAGGTTAAAAGTTGACTTCCGTAAAACCATTTCTCCTGTACACTGAATTGCACCTTAGTCCTCCTTCAGAGCTGTATGACTATAAATTGTACATCTGGGAAGTAACTGTGTGTGTGTTTAAATTTGTACATAGTAGTAATACGTGGTAATCAGGTTCACATTGGTATATTGATATGTGCATATAACAGACATGGATTATTTTCATCCCCTTTTCCTCAGCTCTGAAAGTCTACTTTCTAGTTTCATCTGGGAAGTTTTCAACTTAAATTATTGGTTTGAGATTTTGGCTTATTTGAAGGAGTTTTTTTCCATCTAAAATATTTAGATGGAAATGGTTTATTTCTGCTTTCTCTCCTAAAAATCTTTGTATATTGACCTACACTTGGTTGCCTAGTAGATGTAACAGTCCTTGACTAGTTAAAATCTCTGACAAGTTTTCGGGAGAAGTGTAAATAGGGATTAAATTGGCATATTAGAAAGTTGTATTTTGAAGAAAAACTATAGATAGAAGCAGTATCCTAAGATGACAAATTAGCAGAAAACTTAGAAAATCATGAGTGCTTGGTTTTCAGTCCTCATCTTGTGCATGCACAGTGCCATGGGCCTAGACTTCTGTCTCCCCTGTCCCCTACACCATCCTCCTCGTCTGCGGCTGTTTACCCCTCAGATGTGGGTGCAGACTGAGGGGGATCGGAGCAGGCAGACAGCTTTCTCTGTCCAGACATGGCAGGGATTGCGTCCTCTTCTCGCTTGTCCCAGTCTGGATGTACTCAGTGTGGATGTGACAGGTCTCTTGTTCGAGCTTCCTTCCCTTCCAGGTTGGCGCACCTGTGAGACTGCCTTTTACGCACATGCCTCCTCTCAGCTCAGCACCAGTGCTGAGGAGCCAAAGAAAGCATTCCTCAGAGACCCTGTTCAGGAGCTTGCCTGACAGCTGCCCTGAAACTCAGATGGCCTGGTCAGTTTCTGTAGGAGAGTACGGATGTATTTACTCCTGTTCTAGAGATGCCAGGGTCTGGGGCACAGCTCAGTGGTAGAGCTTGTGCTCAGCATGAGCATGGCCTGGGTTCAATACCCAGCACATGTAAAAAAACCAAAGAGATGCAGGCGAACAGATGAGACATGAGGACCATGCCCTCCTGCATTACAGGGTCATGCAGTCAAAACAGTGAAATACTTGGGCAGAGATCATTGAGACAAGGTTATTCATGAAGGTGGGTGACCCAAAAGGCCATCTCAGGCTCTGCTCCTCGTGACTAGGTACACAGATGTGAAAGCAGAGAAAAGTGTACTGTCATCATAGGTTAGGGGACAAAAGGCAGACTTTTTGGTTTTCCTTGTTTTCCCTTGCTTTTCAGAGACCAACCTTTGCTAAACTGGTTTACATGAGAAGAGAAAGGAGTCGACCACATGGCATAAGACCCTGATCAGCCCCAGAATCCTCATCCAGCCGGTCCTTGTATCCATCCCAAGGGAAAGTTTTGCCCTGGCAAGGACTAAAAGGCCATCGGTCTTTATGCCAGTATGGAGACAGAGGCACTGACTTTAGGGTACTGGTGAGGGTAGAATTTCACAGGCTGTGGTGGGTTGGTGCAGAGTAGAGAGCTGGACTCAGACTTGAAGCATTTGTCATGGTGCCCTTGGCAGTAAGGGAAGACACTGGAGTGCAGGGCCAGTTTCATACTAGCATCCCTTGCAGCTGGACATGTGGATCTCCTCTGCCACCTCTGGTCTGGGCCAGTCAATGTGGCTTGTGTTCTTGTAGGTGGCCACTTTTATCTTTTATTTATTTCTTGGGAAGAAGGGTGAAAAGTAACATGCACTAAGCATCTGTGAGTTCCTGAGGGGTCTCTCCTCGTCACACATAGTCTCCTTCCCACCCTACAGGTTCTATATGGTTTGAGTTAACCTGTAACCTGTATATGTACTGTTTTTAAAAACTGTATTGCTTCTTACTGGATACATACATATGTGTGTATAAGTATATATTAAGCAAAGGAAAGTCATAATCACTTCAGCTTTTTGAAGACAGCAAACCGATGGGGAAACAGCTGTCTCTTCCTTGCTTTCTCTCACCGGGGCATCAAGGGAGTCTTCTGCGGGGGGCAGGGGGCTGCTGCCTGGCTCTGTAGAAGCTGCAGGGCAAGTACTGACTGGGGCCAGCCTCCCAGCCACAGCATAGGCTTTGGTGGGCTTTGAGGACAAGATGTGGTTTTTGGTCAAGGTGGCTGTGTCACATGCTGTTTTGAAGTCTTCCTTATTTACAAGCAACATGTTGGTCCTACCCACTGGGTTTTCATGGTGACAGAATAGAAAGTCTGGAGTTGGGTCCACAGTGGATTCTGCCCCTTGTGAGACCCAGCCCTGTTTCCAAGTACTGCTGCCCCTCATTTAGACCACAGACTCACACCTTGACTCATGATTACTGAGCATGGCAGCAGGGTTTTGGTTACTTCCATTTAGCGCAGGATCAGAATCAGAAAGTGGGCAGTGGTCACCTGGGAGGGGCCCATGGGGACTATGAGATGTGAACACTATGTACTGCAGATATGTATTGATTAAAAAAAAAAAAAGCCAAAATCACCAATATGGTCAGTTGTTGCTTTTCTTACATTGTGAGCGTGGGATGTAACATTAAGAATTCTGACCTGCTGCTGCTGTGATCCTTTGAAGCCTGGGTTGCTGCTATGGCCAGCAGTCACCTCCTCTGGCAAGACTGCTTCCTGGGGTGCAACCTGGAGGTGCTGATGCTTCCTCACTCTCTGGGGGGGCTGCAGGACACTTTCTGCTGCAGGCCTGGGGAGGCCTCTGTCCAGAAAGCCCTGACTTCCTCCAAGAGGAAGTGACTGTGGCCCGGTCTCCAGTGGTGCACACCCTCCCGAGTGGACTGCTGTTTCCCAGTTCTTCAGCAGGCAGGGTCATGCTAACGCTGTACTCTCTATCTTACAACTGCATGTCTTTCTTTGCCCCAGTTCTCTTGGGTATAGATGAAGATAGAATTAGTTGGTCACATCAGTACTCATTTGCTTTGTCCCATATCAGTGTACCACCGTCTTAAAATAATTATGCTAAGACTGTCTCCTCCAGTTTAGGTACAGAACTTGGGAGGCTGAGGCAGGAGCATTGCCACAAGTTCAAGGCCAGCCTGAACTTCATAGTGAATTCAAGGCCAGCCTGAACTACAGAGTGAGAGGCTGTCCCAAAAACAGAGAGAGAAAGATACTATATTTCTCCCCCAGTGTAAAACTCACAGGACTGTATCACCCTTGTCGGAGCACATAGCCAGCTCTCCTCTGGGCCCGGTGCTCATAGCTCTAGTCCCTATATGTGTGTAGCTTGGGTTCTGCATGCAATTTTCTTACCTAGGTTTGTTGTAAATATTGCCTGCAGGTTTGGTTTTGCTGTCTGATTGCTATATCTGCACAAGTGGCCAGTGCACTCTGCTCACTGAGTTTGGAAAGTCGTTCTCCAGGGCCATTGCCAGGAGGGGTTTTGTTGCATGTGAACGCTGACGTGTATTTTTCTCTGAGCATATTAATGTGTATCCTCTGGCGTCAGCTGCTGTGTTGAACTGTCTGCTGATGATCAGATTTTCTTTCCCCTGGAACTTGCTGGCTGTTCTCTCTGGTTGTCCAAGCAGGCCTTGGGTGTTATCTAAAGCTAAGTAAAATCATTTACTAAGACATGTTGGTGCTGCTCACTCAGAACCAGTGCTCTCAGACGGGGATGAGCTCTTCAGTAAGGGCTCCTCATCCCCGCTGAGGGGAGGTGTTGTTGGGTTGCAGTCTTTATGGTCTGCTCTGCTTCTAATGCTAGTCTCCCCAGAGAGTCTAGGACCCACAGAGCAGGAGTTGTGTCTCTACCTGTCACACTGCGACCTCTCTCAGATCTTTGGTATCTGAACTTTACATCTTTTGAGTATATTTTCTTCCATGCTCCTTCTAGTTTAATAATTTTGGGATGATTTTCCTTTGTTTCTAATTCTTGAGTCTCCCCCAGTTTCTGATTTGTTTTAATTGTGATTCATGGTGTTTCATTTCCTGTCTCTTAGCCTGTTTTCAGGCTAGAGAATACACCACTTTGGTCTTCCCTCATGGGTCTCCTGGTGTGCGTGCCTTCTGTCCTCATCTCTCCTTATTAGCATAGTGCTTATGGGATTGGATGTCTGTGCTGTTCTGTTGTGTGTTTTTATTTCTTTTGTATTTTATTATTTTTTGTTGTGTTTTGAGAGAGGGTCTCACTATGTAGTTCAGGCTGATCTTGAACTCACTATATAGCCTAAGCTGTCCTTGAACTGGGATTACAGGCATTCACCACCACACCTGGCTTGTTGTGTGTTTTTATATGACACTACTGTTTCTGAACTTGCAGGTGGTTCAGGGTAGCTTTTCCTGACTTCACACTTCTGGGATGTGCCTGCACACGTGCTTGTGCACGTGTACATAAGATGTGACATCTGCCTTCCTAAAACTGTTCCTCTCCCTGATCTTTACCTCTGCCAGCTCTTTCCTATGCACTTGTCACCCACACCCAACCATTCTTCTGCAGTGTAGGGCCCTGCTTGTGGTTTTGAGGTTCATAAGGAAGTGGGTGTCGTCCTTACCCACC